AAAAATAAATCAGAGCTAAAAAAGTGCAAAAACGCAGGCAAATTTGTCTGCGTTCTACTACAATCTAAGGGATAGGTACAGCATCTAGTGTAGTACTTAGTATAACTACTTAATTAGGTGCTTAAAAGGCGTAGATATGGCTAGAATGTATCCTCATCAGAATATACTTGTCTGGGGCCCCTTTGAAAAGGCACCACATGATTCTATAATCTAATAAAAATGACGAGCCAAAGAGGCTAACCTTGATTACAAAAAAAAAAAAAAAATTTTAAATTATAATATAATAAATAAGAATACAACAATTATATATAAGAAAGAAGTTTTAAAATTAATAATTTGAAGTATATCAAATGAAAAATTCTGTATTTAAATTAAATTTTGACTATTATAAATAAGTTTCTTTTGAGATATACTGTAGAAAGTAGTTTTGATAATCTAGTAATCAAAAAGATAGCTTTTTCTGTTTAATCTTACATAGTATAGAAGCAAGGTTTGAAGTAAAAAAACTATAAGAAGAATTAAAAAGTTTGACTATTTTAAAACTAATGATTATATGTTGAGGTTTTGAAATCAGTATTATAAAATTTAAAATAAAATCAAATAAAAGTTGTAAATTAGAATAATATATTAAAGATATGCAATCTTCAAAAATTATATATATATAATTTTTATCTTTTATCTCAGTTTAAAGTATATTTTAGTTCATAGTTTATTTTATTAAATAACTTAATATATATTTTTATAATCATGTAGATAGTTTTTTATTTGATTAGAAGGTTTTTATATTTGTAAACAAGTTTTATAGATTTTAAAATAGTTTTTAGATTCTTTATAATTTGGTTATTTTCTTTGTATATTCATTTTTATTTATCACCTATTATTCTATCTCTATTTTTTTTACTTCTATAAGATAATATTATTAGATTAATAGTATTATATTGTAAAGCAGTAATACTGACAAGATTGGTAAAAGCCATCTGTTAATAGTTGAAGCTTATATGCTTAAAAAGTTAAAAATTTTGAAAAAAGAAAATATTTACTTAGATAAATTGCTTCTGAATTATATTTTAGTATAAATTTAGAGCTTGCTTTATTTTTTATTACAATAATAAAACAAACTAAAAGAATCTTTATTTGTATAAAAATGTTACAGTTAATGAGTTTGTATAAGCAATTAAAAACATATTTATAAATTGCTTCTGATTAATAAAATAAAGATAAGATTATTGAAGTAAAAAAAATAAATAAATAAATAAATATTATTAGATTACTTTTTAATAATTTATATAATTTAATTTAGATTAATTAGAAAGAATATTAGAAAAAATAAAAAGAAGGCATTTATTTGTTATTAAATTAAAAATATAAATATTTTAAATAAATAAATATATTTTGCTGAGTTTTAATTCTAATTTAATAATTTTGTTATTATTAGAATCAGAAAACCTACTTACAAGTTTATTTAGAAATATAAAACAGTTTTTTTAATAAACTTTTATTTAATTTAAAAAAAACAAAGTACTATTGATTTTAGATATAATTTATAAATAATATCTTTTATTCTTAATATACTATTGTTTAGATGATGGTGTTTGGAGTTAAGAAGTTCGAATTAAAGTTTATAATAAAAAGATATATGTAAATTTTAGTAAAGTTTATATTTTAAAACCAAGACACCAAATTTTAGCATCATCTATCTTAGTATTATATCTGATGTTTTATTATTATATTAATACAGTTAATTAATGTTTTTATATTGTTAACTGTTTTAAAACTAAAAGTGTTTTACACGGTCTATAAGCTTTTACACTAACTCTAAATTTAATGTTTGATTTCGATCAATTTTCTACCATCTTAAACAAATCAGTCTGTAGCATTTATTTAACACAAAATCATCAGCTATTCTCAATTTATAGAATATATAGTATGATCAATTATTTTCGCAGATATCAACTAACAAATGTTCTTTATAATGACCTACCAATTAATAAATAAAAAAGCAAAATGAATTTGCAAATATTCATACTTTAAAACTAAAAATCTTTATAATTGCTTATAATAAACAACAAGAAATAATATGCGTATTGTAGTAATCTTGAATGCTAATTTTAAATACTTTAAATGCTCCATACTTAAATAAAATTACTATTATGTGTAGTGGCAGTCACTTTTATAAGTCCGGTATTTAAATTAGAACTAGATATATACAGTACGTTCTAATTAAATTTATAAATATAATGTTTCAGTATAAGTAGGATAAAGTTCAGTTTCCAATAATTATATAGCTATCTGAAGTAAAATAAAATTTAAAAAACTATACATGCCCACTAGATTTACAAAATAAAATTAGTATATAATATAATAAACTCAAATACTTATTACAAGTTATATATACTGTTTTATTACTATATTTTTTACCGTGTATAACTGTATAAAAAAAAATAGTTAACCCCTCTAGGCAACAAGCAGACTTACCTACTAAATTTTCAAATATGATTGGATATCAACTGATTGACGCGCCCTAAAAATTTTGGGGCGCGTCAATGATCATGAATTCCACAAATCCGTGTATACGTATAACCTTTTCAAATTTACAATTTTGATTGGCTAAAATTATATACAGAATCAGAATCTTTATTTTCTTATTTGGAACGGTCCTTCCTGCTATATAAGAATAAAAATTAAAGATAAAAATAAGAACGAAAATCACATACAATTAATAATATTCGACGGTGTGACAGGAGTTTGGAAATATGGGAATGGACTAGGAAAACCCGACGGCGGTTTTCATAGTCCATTCCCCATATAAGTTTCCTACGTATTAATAGCCAAAAAATTTTTTATTGTAACACCAAACCAATTTGATAAAAATGTCAATTTTTTATTAAATTTGGTTAGATAGTCGAGAAATTACGTATCAAATCACGAATAAACACTGAATGCAAATTGTCATTCGTTTTTCATAACGACAATATTGATCACGTTAAGACTTTATAATATTAACAGATTTTCGTTAATAATCACAAATTCGAATGGGCTTAACAAAGTTTGACTTATAATAGGTTTCATTTACAAATTTTATATACAGTATAATATTTTTCTAAATTAATAACGATAATAGACACATATATGAGGTTACATTCATAATTTACAGTTTCATTTTATCTTTATTTGATAAAAAAATATATACGTTGATCTATACGTTTAATATTTTTATGTCCAACATCCGTCCAACATCCGGAGATAAAAGGATAATCCGAGACGTTTCAACGAACTTGAATAACATGCATATTATCAGTGTTGGCATTTTGGTGTTCCATCGCAAAAATTCATTTAGAATTTTAAAATATGGCATTTAATTTGATCTAACAATATATGTATATACTGTATTTACTGTAAGTCATTTAGATAAAGAACTTTTTCTATGTAAAGAAAAAAAAGCTCCATTACTTCATTCCGGGTAGTAAATGCATAATCTTGCAACACTGCACATTAAGTTTACTGAAATATACATTCAATTAAATATAACTTATCTAATTTTATTTTTACTTTCTGGAATCATAAAGATAAAACTAAAAAGAACGTGTATATAATTTATTTTAATCGTAAATCTTAGAGAACATTAACATAGATATATATAATATCGATCAAAATAAAAAAATCTATATTTAATGAATACTTATAACTACTTATATCTCATATACACTTAGAATAAGTTATTATGATAATTCCCGATCATTATATCAAGATCACAAGTGATTAATGAATATTACCCTGATTCGTATGAGACAATTTGACATTATCAATATGCTTAATTATTTAATTTTAAGTTTTTGTCCGAAATTCGGATCCTTAGGCTCAGTTTTGTCAGCAGCAACACCAATAAATGTAGGAAATCGCGGGTGCCCACCATCACTAAGTTCTTGGCATCGATATCTATTATACACAGTATATTTCAATTATTAATGAATAATTAATTGGCTTTCCTCAAAAGTAAAATTAAATCGTAGTAATTTATATTTACATAATGATGCTTCCAATTTTTGGAGGCTTTTTTCTTTCGCTATCACTCAATCCAGATCCGACCTTAAACTTTTTGCCACAAGCCATCACACATTTTAATGCACCTGTCATTCCTGTATATTTTCCTTTTCCTGGCTCGTAACCTTCTAAAAGAGCCTCACCATCATAAAATGATTTAATCTAAAATTTGTAATTGTACCAATTATGTTTAATAAATGAACATTTAAATAAATTTATCACAATATTTGAACATACTTTTAATAATGTGTTGGATCGACCACGAACATATTCACTTTTCGGTTTTCTAATCATTAACCCCTCTCCACCAGCTGCTTCAACTCGGTTCAATTCATCAAAAATATCTTTAGCTGATTTGCAATATCTATGTTGAACTAATTGCACATATGGAGGTCTAATACAGTAGAATTATAAAACATATTGTAATCTATAAGGTATATGATAATATATTTAGATTTGTTAGCTTGTAAAGTTACTTGCTTGTGTTTCTCTACCAAATCTTCGATATAAGCCATACGATCCTCAAAAGGTGCATTAGAGTACGATGGGACATCAAATACCTAGGTAAGAAAAGACAAGACAAATCATATTTATTATGAAAAATATAGATTTATATGCATAAAAAAAGAAATAATACGTCTATATACCTGATAGGTTATTTTCTTCCATTCTTCAACACCAGCTTTCACGATACTAACTGTTGATTGAAATTTGCCGCGACCACCGAAAAGTTCACCGTCAAGATCAATGTCTTTCGGTAAACCTGGCAATGAAAGGAGATTTAAGGTTTAAAAAAATTTCATCTTATTGATAGCAAATAAACATTATTCACCTTTTGTAAACCTAAAGGTAAAAAAAATTTAATAAGCTTTTATATAATGTGACAAAGTGAATATTTTTTTAAACTTACCAATCAGGCGCTGAATAAACTTTTCCTTGTCTGGACAAGAATACACCTCGTTTTCCACACCAGAAGGCCCTAACACCATCCAACTTTTCAGAAATCCACCAACCAGTTGGATCAACTTCGTCTTCTTTCCAAGGATGAGCAAGTAAAAGATCAGGAATATTGCCTTTTAAAATTGACTTAGGCTTAGCATTAGTAATGGAAGAAGGTAAGGTAGCCGTCTTCTTAAAAGTAGATTTGAAGGTATTGTTTGATACAGGTGGTGACGCGGAGGTTTCTTGTCCATCGTCAGTATTAGAAGTTTCAGGATCATCCGCATTTTCTTCAATTGACTTATCATCATCCAAAAAAGTCTTATCATTGGAATTAACATGAGTTTTTTGTCGCTTGAGGTGCCTCTTTGTAGTCACTGGTTTTTTACCGGCTTTAGCATCAGCTGTTGAAGAAGGTTTATCTTGTTTCTTAAATCCTTGACTTGTCTTTCTAGCGATCAAATTATTCATAGATTGTTTTGCATCGGCCAAACTTTTATGTTCTTTCATAGTTATTTCTCCTTTGTCACCAATATTTCCTATTCTGATATAAGTCTTTCGACCGTCAAGTCGAATTTCCCAAAACTTATTTCTTGCTACCATGTATGTCGTAGGTTTTGAGAATATTTCGTCCTTATCCGCAGACTCATCATCACTACTTTCATCCCTTTCTCGTTTCTTTTCAGAATTTTTAGTAGGTTTAAAATTAAGACCATCATCCTCTCGTTTAGATGTCAAATTTTCCCATTCTTGTTCGTTAAGAATAGTAAGACCGAATTTTTTAGCATCTTCAATTTCAGCTCCGACATCTTGACCACAAACTACGTAGGTAGTGGATTCAGTAATGATAGGACTAACCGAATATCCTAAGGATATAGCACGTTCATATTGAATTCCACGTGAAGCGATGGTTAAATTTCCCAAAAATACTACAGTTTCTGACATTTTATTATTTTTATTATGAATATTTGAAGAATGTTGATGTCTTTTCGTGTCATTTTTATAAAAATATTGTGTTTATCATGCGCAGCAACAACCAATCTAAATTAGGAAAAACATAATGCGTATGGCTAATGACTGTCCCCAGCAGTGTTGTTATTTAGATATATGAACTGTCGGATTTAGCCCAATTAGACTTAAGGTTAAGGCTAATTAGGGCTAAATAAAAGTACTAGACTTAAGGCTAGTAACAACACTGGTCCCGGGCGTTGTGGATTTATTTAGATGCGCCAATTGATTCCACAATAGCTGCGCGACATTATTATTTCCTATAACAGGTGCATCAATTGATTCCACAATACGTACGTACGTAGCTGCGCGACATTATCATTTCTATAACAGGTGCGTCAATTAATTTTATATATACTAGAAAACATGTACAAACTTTTGACTGACGAAAAATATTCTTAATTTGGTAAATACAATTTGTTAACGTTAGGGTGTAACCGGGCAAATTCATCCCGCTGGTACAGCACTATGATGTTCCGATTGTTACAGTATCAAAATTATGCCATTTCCCGTCAATTTATGAAAGAGTTACTTTCTCCAACCGTACGTAGCAAAAATGAAATCTGCCAATAATAGAAATTAGTAAACCAAGATTACGTACGCACGCACGCAAGTACACACGCATGCACAAGTACGGTAGCGCAGATTCGGGCAGATGTACGGACGGACGGACGAAAAATATGCTACTTTTGATAGTAAACCAGGTATTTAGTAGGTATTTAGTAAAGTAGTACTGTACGGCAGTACAAATTTGGACGGACATACGAAAATTATACCAAATTTTGATCG